TGTCTGGAACTCGACAGCCACTATTCACAGCACACGCTCATACATGGGGGGGGGCATGAAACAAGGGAACAACAAGGGACTTGGCAAGTCACATTGTTTGATGGGTGGGACCAGTGAAGAGTGCCTCAACTTCTTCTGGAAAATCGGAAAATCCGGTTCTGCTTTTCGGGTACTTCCCCTTTACCGATTTGGCTACTTTTAGTTCTAAAAGAAACGCACTGTCGCAAGCTTTTCAACAGTGTAGAGAAAACCGGAAATTTCAGTCGGAAAGGGGTCGAACGGCCTGAATGTCTGCTAAAGAGGTTCTGGAGAAAACGCCAGTACGGAGACTGCTCACTGGAGCAGGTCAGACAGTTCTAGGAGAGTGACTTGTTCTGATGGGCAAGTTCCAGTTTGCATTTTGTTCTGTTTGCAACTCATTCTAATTACCCTAAATGCACCCTAAACACACACACACTTTTAGAGTACTTTCAAAGGAAATTTGAGCATCCAGGGACCTCTTTTTGGGCTGTTTGTCTTATCTAAAAACCGTAACTTTTTTTTGTCTAATACTAAACCTTATTAAACTTTTTGCTTTTGACCAATCTCTTTCCATCATCTGCTGTTGCCCAGGCGGACAATTATCTTCTCTTTTCGTTTCTCTTCTTACTACAACTCAGCCATTTAGTTTGACTTACTGGTGAAAACCTCATCTCGATAACTTAGGTAACTTTTTTCAAGAGTCAAAAAAGTGCGTGAAGAGAAATAGAGAAACTGCATGATTTTAGGGGTTGTAGGCATTTCAAATAAAGTTTACTTATTCCCTGCATTTTCTGCGATGATATTGCCTTGCAATGAAAAAGACCTACGATGAAATGGCCTTGCAATGAAATGGCCTCAAACTACCATTTAACACCAGTGTTTGCTAATGTTCACACATTTGCCGGCCACTGTCAACAGGAAACACCAACTGTCAAACAGCTAATCCGCGGCACTGACTAATGGCCACACTTCTTTAGCTGTTGCTTTCTTTGTGCCTTTGCCGCCGCCACCACTGGAACAAGAACACATTCGCCCCAGCTTTTCCAGCTCAGGGCCAGGATGATCTATTGCTTGATGCCCGTGTGCCTGCCTGCCTGCCTGCCTCAAGCCCTGCCAGTGTGCCTCGACTCATTTGTTTCGCCCTTCAGTCAGTCAGGCTAGCGGCACAGTGAGAGAGAGAGAGAGAGAGA